ATCTAGATATATAAGATAACTCTCTTCATGTCATTATACTTAACGAGGATGTAAGTATCATACATTGCAGTTGTTCAACGGTCTTTGTTTTTTCTAACAGTGCTGGAGATTGAACCCAGTGCCCTGTGTATGTCAGGCAACACTCTAACACTGAGCTATACTCCCAGCCCTTTTGGTTACTATTCAAGTCATTGTTACAAAAATATTGTTCACTGTCAAGTTAAGGGGTATGCATAATTAAATTTGGTTGTATCTTTTTAATTTTTTTCTTTGAGGGTTTTTAAAAAGACAATTATCAATGATTTAAAATCCCAAATTGGAATGTGGGCCAGGGAAGTTAATACAAAATCTGTAATGTTCTGATCTTCCTCTAAATTTTTAACATGGCCTGAATAGATAGATTAACTATACTTTTACTTAATTAAATAACCCATATTTAAAGCTTTAAAACTTTTCTTTCATATAACTACTTAGAAGGTAATTTTAGTAGAGAGAATGATATATTAACCACATTAATCTTAGCCAGCTGAGGAGTTTGTCTGTCCAGCATTGATATTGATCAAGCCCATTACACCAACTCAACATAAATAAAAATATACTATGTAAAATACACTAACTTTAAAGCTACATATTACAAATAAAACATGTATGTATTACACGATCATATGATTTTATATATATTATATGACTTTATAATTTCTTAGATATATGGAACCTTCAAAATTTAAATTTGCTAAGTTGCCAATTAGTTCTCATGGCTAAAGGAGTCAGTGGCAAGATTTCTAATGGTTCCTCTGTAAGAGAATTAGATTGAAACTTCTGCTTCCTTGAGCATTCTTATAAAAGAGTTTGCTTTCTGAACCAAGCATAAAATGTCAAGTGAACTTCTCATCATCATCTTAGTGTAGTTCTTTGCTTTTTTTGTGGGGGTGTAGGTGAAAACATTTCCCTTAAAACTGAAGGATTTATTTTTGTTTCTTATAAAATCCTGCTCTCTTAAATAATATTAATATACATAAATACATGTATATAAATATGTTATTATTTGCAATATTTTAAAGTTATTTACATGTCACTATATACATTGATCCTTGAAGTAGAGAGTGCAAATTAAGTCTTGTTTGAGATAAACACAACGTTGACAGGCCCTTAAAACTGTCAGCTACAACTGATTGCTTCTGCTTTTCCTACCATTAGAGGACTATGGTAGACTCCTCAGGAATGGAGGGAAGGGGTACTTTTCTGGTTGTATGCTCTCCAAAGTCTTAGGAGGTGGCGGTAGAAGGAATTCCCTCTGCAGTCAGTAAAATAAGAAACTAAACAATCAGACACAGTTAACCTATATTTGCTTTCTGATTGTGGCCCTGCAGGCTTTTATTTTGTTCTATTTTGGTCAGTCAGGAACTTAAATTTGAATGTCGTTATATATGAAAATACTTTCTAGTTTAACACAGGCCCTACCATTTCTTTTGTTATCTGTCAGGTCCTTGAAAGCATTTCTGTTTACCCTGGTTTCAGACAAATTTACTTACAACCTGGTTCCCCCAAAAGCCCAGGTTCTGATTCTGAATACACAACAATCCCTCTGATTCCCGTTTTTACTGTGCAGACCTTTGTCTCTTCCTAAGTGGATTCAGAGGATGGTTCTGAGGGTTTGCTTCTTGCAATACCACAAGCTGAGTCTCATTTTTGAGAAGGTCTTTCTAGTAGTTCCTGCCCCTCCATGTTTATCCCTGTTTTGCCACTTTTTGATTTTCCCTCTAGCCTGAGTCCATCCTGGTTTCATTTTCTTGATTTTTGATGTTCACACTCCAAAGAAGGAGTCAAAATTATATATGAGGGACCAGTAATTTCAATGAGAAAAGATGAAGAAATATGTCATGCCAGGAGACCAAGGTTTGATTTCATCAGTTTCATGTAAAATTGTCATCAATGAACAAATGATCTTGTCTCTGTGACATGCCAGCTAGGCTGATTCAGGTAAATGGTAGCATGGGAATTCAGAAAAATTACATTTTTAATAATATAAGAATGCTTTAATTAAATGTAACTCCTACGCTATACTTTGGTTTAAAACTACTGCAATATTACTTTTTATTCCTTTTCTAAAATAACAAAGAATCTCAATGAGTATATAATTTTAAGTGCATTATATCCATGACTGCAGAATCTTCTGATACACATATCTGGATGGAGGCCCAAGTGGTTGGAGGACCATAGCAGAAAAAGAAAGTGACAAACATTGATGACTTGAGTGATGTGTGGAACTGCTCTGTGTGCTGGACAGCACCACAGGACAAGCAGTGCACTGACTCATTATTCTTGGGCTTGGGAATAGAACTTTTTATTTTATGTGAGTATTATCCAATTTTTATAAGTATTTCTTAAGTAATTATATAATTTCTTTTATCTTTGACAAAAACAAAAATTAGGGGTAAATTAGGAAGTAAATAAATTTGAAATGTTGCTCTATGTAAGACAATGTATATAATTTAAAAATTTTTAAATCACAGTATTCTCAGACTCCTAATTCATCACCACTTCATTCCTTGCCCTGTACATCCTGTATGAGCACCTCAAATATTTTATTGTCCATACTTCTTGCTTACTGATAAAGTAGTATTAATTCACCTGGTGGTATTAATCCATCCTCTCTTTCAATCATCAATTTGTGCATAGCCTCATATCCATCAACAAAATGGTTTTTGTTTCCACAGATATTCAATCAGTGTAGTGTAGACCGGCTTCAAAGCTCAAACACACACAAGGGCAAATTTCCTTTTAACAGATGTATATTCAAACATTAAAAAAGCAAAACAAATTGCTCCTGGCAAGTTCAGACTCCCTCTAGGCAAGGACAGCAGAAAAATGGCAGGGAGCAGCAGTAAGTCATTCATGACTAAACCTCAGGAACTAACTGAATTGTACTGAATTGAACCAAGCAACAAATTAGAAATATGGAAGGAATACTGGCCCCACCATTTTTATTCCTTGTAACTCCAGGCACCATAGAGAGAGAAATGACTAAATCTCTGTTTTAATAGATGCTGTCAGGAGTTTTGCTCTGTAGGGCCTATTTCAGCAGTTCCTAGTGGTAATATATGGCATTTCCCTGATTAACAGCCATTTTATAACCTGTGTAATTGGCCACAAATCAGGGGAATGTCATAATGTAGCAAGAAAACATTCCCATCTCCGTCATAGCCTTGGCTTGGTTTTCTGGAGGAATTATTACTTGAGTAGTTTGTGGGTTTTCATTACTTTAAATAATGTACTACCTGAAGTACAAAAAACGACACTTAGACTAATGAACATTTCTGTCTCCAAACCCTTTCTGCCACCCTGTCCTTAGATTTCTTTTTCAAACACTAAAAATGGAATTCTTTCTTAATTTTTATAACATCACAATGTTTGTGGGGAAATCAAGGCAGGGGCAGGACAGGGAGAAGGGTCAGGTGTGTAAGGCAACAAACTTTGTTATGAAATTTAAAACAACACCCCAAAACTCAGTAGGCAAGACAGAAATATTTTAATATAATATATAAAAAATCAGAATTAATGCAGAAAGAACCATAATGAACCAAATATTAAAATCTTAAATAAAGACAGGTTCTGTCCCTGGACTTGTATGACTTATCTCACTCACCTGCGCTCGTCCTGGGCAAGGGTACAAGATAAGAAGAAGTGAACACAAAGTAATGGTCTGATGTCTTTTGTCTAACTAGAAAACAGACTTTGGTTGTTTATACTCACTCTTGTAATAACAGCTATCATCTGCACAAAATTATGTAAATATGGAGCTTTAGTTTATCTGTGATACATAGTCCAAAGCATTTTACTATGAAAGTGTCATCTCTAAGAGAGATAGATCTTGTAATTCTGTATCAGCTACTATAGGAGACCAAGTTTTATTGGTTGAAATCATGCCAAATAGAAATTAAACTTCTTCTCTTTCTAGGATAAGTAAAGACCAACATCAGTCCTTTAGTGAAAAATATGGAATTATTTCTCAATTTGAACTCTTCAGTGAGATATATACAAGAAATTCAAAGTTTAGAAAACACTATGCCTTTTCTGAAGAAGGTGGAATAAGGTTCATAACTGTAGTAGTTTGACAAGTCTATGAGGAAGAGTATGGTCAGAGAGGGGCACCTAAATGGATAGGCTGCTAGGTTTTCTGGAGAAGATATCTGAGCTATATTGTAAAGATCTGAGAGAAAGTGGATAGATAAAGAGGGATGGGGTTGAGTCATTCCAAGGAGAAGGAATAACACTGTGTAAGCATGAAGTTTCAAAATGGTAGCATGTTTTAGAGGGGCTTTGAATCTTTAGGAAGGCTTGGAAGTTGGATGAAAGCCAGAAAATTGTAAGGGATGAGACTGGAGAGATAAATAAAAGGCCATTCAGATGAGAAACAGGTGATAGTTGAATGAAATAGTAAGCATACCAACTTATATAGACAATAGCCATGTGAAATAACATATTCTTAACACAAAATATAAAATATATGGGTAGACATTTTTTTCATTTTTGATTTCTGTATTAAGAATAAAATACATGAAAATATATTGAAAAGATTTGAAAAATGTTCAGATCCCTCTAATAACACTGGAAATTTCACAGATATTTACATCACGTTTGCCCAACCTATTCCTTTGTGACTTTCTTTTCTGAAGCCATAACAAAGTGGGGTTGGCACTCTTAAAAATTCATCATGCTAAAAGTTACTGTACTTGAGATATAGTTGAAGCAATTCAATAGAAATTAGGGTTGAAGCAATTCTATAGAAGTTAGGTTTAAAAATTATGAAGCATTATTCAGTGAAATAAGATGTGAAGACTATAAAATGTAAAACTGGTGAAAAAGTTTACTTGCTTAATGTCCAGGTTGTAAAATGCTCAAGAAATCTGAAAAATTTCATTCTTCAATATGGTCATAGAATATCCTATCAATGATAATGCAATTAACCTGAATATAACAAAAACATTGGCCACACTAACCTTTTACATCATTTGCTAATTTCTTGGCTTCATTAAGAATCCTGAAGCTTTTTTGAAGAGAGACTTTGGCATCTTCCTTCAATGAACCTTGAGGACCTGATGCCTGTGGACAGAAAAGGAGGTTTAAAATATCTAGTAATGTAGCATGATAAAGTCAAGATGTCTAGAAGACAGTTAGTATACAGAGTTTACTTACTGGGATAAAGACTTATAATTGTGACTTATTAACACATGTAGGTGACTAGAGACTACTTGTTGGGAGATTAGAAGGTCTAGAGAGAAATCCTTAGAACAAAAATGTTCAAGTGGCAGGTATAGAAGTGGGGCTGGTATTCCAGAGGCAATAAGGAGAAACGGAGAGAATGTGATATTATTTTCCCCAACACATCATGGCTGACAGAGTTACAAGAACATAAATGATCAGTAGTATTAAATGCTGCAGAAGCCAAGCAAATTAAGAACTAAAGACATCCATTCACTTTATCCCTAAGCACATTTTACTCTAGATATGGGGTGAGTAGGGAGCATTACTTTTATTCCCTGGGTATTGAATTTAAAAGGACTATTGGGTTCCTTTTTAAACAAATTTCAAATCACCATGGCATAATACAGCCTTCTAAATGACAATCTCAGAATCACAATCATCCAGCAAAGATGTATTTGTTGAGGGTTAGATTAATCGAGGTGACACAAAGATAATAGAACAGGAAAAGGATCATTTCACTTGACTGTCTAGTTATCCATTTTAATAGTGTTTTCTCCTCTGTAGTCATTACATAATACATTTATACCAACAGATAAATCAAATAAGGTCCTATGTGTATATTTTAAACTAGAAAAAGTATTTCAGGGTACAAGAAGGGCTGGAGAATACTAAATGCTTACTGTTAAAGTTATAATTCTGAACTTAGGTCATCCCAGTCATAATGCTCTTCAAAGACATCTGTAGTGCCTTAGTAACAGTTTTTATCAGTCATGTTACTTGGGAATTAAAATAGGAAAAGATTACAGAGCTTGGTTTTGCTCTGGTCAAATTTATTTTAGTGAATCATTCCAACAGATTTCATTTAAATATTGCTCATAAGACAGACTTGATATCCACAAAAGGGCATATTAGAAACATCTGCATCAATAAAAAGAGACATTGTACACAGTACTAGAAAAATACAACCTTGGAAAATTATTCTATGGAAAATTGACAGTATTTCCCATTGCATTCATGGGAATTCTTAGTTTCACATTTTATCTTGGGAATTAGGTATAGTAACGTCAAAAAGTGTCATTATCTTGGGGAAAAAAATAAGTGTAAAAGTTAATGGCACAAATTCAATGTACTTTACTCAAAAAAGGAAGCCTCAGATTACCCACTCATGTTCTATATTTGCTCCAATTTACACATCATTTTTACTCTGTGGGTTATAAGTTTTCTGAATCAAAACAGATCAAAGATAGGAAATTACAAAGGAGTGAAGATTCTCTAAATAGGCACAGTAAAAACAGCAGAAATGACAGCTGACAATCTGACGATGAAGAAAGAGAAAAAAACTCTTAAAAGTAAAGAGGAAAATTTTCAATGCTTAGGCATCCAAATCGACTTGGAAAGGGGTCAAGTGTATATGATAAGGTAGTTCTCAGTGGATGACAATATTATTGTAATAAAAGAACTAATGTTGACAATGTTCCTGAATAATCAAGAATATGGGTCATTCATAATGTTAGATGAAACTTTTAAAAAAAGAGAGAAAAGGAAAAAAAAAACAGCTTTTCTAACATTCTTGGAGTGTGAATGCCTTTTTATAAGAACATCATCTGGCAAGCATTTAAAAACCATAATTTTAAAGCTAATCTTGGATGTGCAAAATGAGGCATGGCATTAACTGAGGGAAACAGAGTTGATTTGCTGTGAAAAAGAAAATTAAAGGCAACAGATGAGAGAGAGAGAGAGAGAGAGAGAGAGAGAGAGAGAGAGAGAGAGAGAAAGAGAGAGAGAGAGACCCCAATCATCACTGAGTGAACTGTGAGAAGTTGTTGATGGACTATAATCAGTCCTATCAGTCGTAACCAATATGCATTTTTCTATTTTTCAATACTTTTAAGCAGTTGATTAAGTTAAAACTGGATAGATAAATTACACATATTTAGAATTTACAATTTTATTTTTGAAATGTCTACACCCATGAAACCATTATTATAATCAAAGTAGAGAACACAATATCATTTCTTTTAATCCTTTCCTTCTATCCCTTCTCCTCTTCCCCACCATGTTCCTAGACAAAATACTAGTCTTAATTTAATCACTGTAAGTTTGTGTCTTATAGGATTTATATACTGCATTTTTTGGGGGGAGGGGTCTGGTTTTTTTCACTCAGTATAATTTTAGCATTGTCCATGTTGTGTGTGTGTCAGTATTTGATCCCTTTTGTATGTGTAAGTGGTATTTCATCGTATGGATGTGTCCCAATCCATTTATGCATTTACTATTGAATGGAAATTTGAGTTGCTTTAGCTTTCACCATTCTAAATAGAACTTCTAATCATTTTTGTGCAAATCTTTGTATAAACAGAGACTTTCATTACTCTCAGAGTGACTACCAACTAGTAGAATGACTTGATCATATGGTTGATGTATATTTAAGTTTTTATGAAACAGCTACCTGATTTCCAAATTGTTTGTAGTATTTAAAATTTCTATCCAGTAGTACACAGAAGTTTCTTTTGTTCTCAGCTGGGCCAAGACTCAATACACTCAATCTTTTTTTTTTTTTTTTAATTTATTTATATGTGGTACTGAGAATCGAACCCAGGGCCTCATAGGTGCTAGGCAAGCACTTTACCACTGAGCCACACCCCCAACACTCAATCTTTTAAAATTTAAAAATAGACTAAAATTTGACTTTCAATTTGGTTATAATTTGCATTTTTCTGTTGACTAATAATGTTGAGTATTTCTTTTTGTGCTTATTTGCTATCTTCTTAGGAGAAATATCTATTAAGAATTTTTCTGTTCAATTTTTGGGTTTTTTTCCTTATTACAAGTCTTTTTTCAGACACATAATTAAAAAATATCATCTCCTAATTTGGAATTTGTCTTTTCATTTTCTTAAAAGTAGTTTTTTTTGTTTATTTTTATTTATTTATTTATTTATTTATTTATTTATTTATTTATCTATCTATTTATTATTGGGTACTGTGGATTGAACTCAGGGTTCAGGGGCACTTGACCACTGAGCCATATCCCCAGCCCTATTTTGTACTTTATTTAGAGACAGGGTCTCACTGAATTGCCTCACTTATGTTGAGATTGGCTTTGAACTTGCAATTCTCCTGCCTCAGCCTCCCAAGCTGCTGAGATTACAGGCATGTGCCACTGCACCTGGCTTCAAAATAGATTTTGAAGGGGAAGTACTCAATTTTAATGAAGATTAATTTAGCAAATTTTTCCAGTTAAGGGTTAGTCTTTTATGTTATATCTAATAATCTTTGCCCAAGATCATAAATATTTTACTTATATTTTCTTTCAGATGTTTTATATTTTTATGCTATATATTTAGATCTATGATCTATTTCTGAGTTAGTTTTGAAAAATGGTATAAGATATGGTACTACAATCCATATCTAATTCTTATAGTTGCATTCATTAGAAAACATTGAATTGCTTTTGTATCTTTGTCAGGAATCATTTGATGTATGTTAGGATCTATTTCTAGGTTATTTTGTTCTAATGATCAATTATTACTCAATATTGATAACAACACCACACTGTTTAATTACCATAGCTTTATAGAAATTATTAAACCCTGATAATATAACTCTTCCATTTTTTTTCCTTTTTATTTCATATTGATTATAAATTTCTTTAAATAGGTTTCTAGGATCTCATTCAGCTTTCATTGAATGTATATATCAATTTATATAAAATTAGCACTATAAGAATATTGGATCTTCTGATCCATGGCACTATAAGAATATTGGATCTTCTGATCCATGAACATGATAATTTTCTCTTTACTTATATAGATGTTTTTAATTTATTTCAGTAATATTCTGTGTATAGGTTTTTTTGAATTTTTTATCAAATTTATACCTATTTCATATTCTTTATGCTATTGTAAATTGTATTAATTTATTTTCAACTTCAAGTTTCTCTTTGACAGCCTATGCAAATGATCAATTTTCACATATTTATGCCATAGCCTATAATACTGGTAAACTTGCTTATCAGTTCTAGTAACGTTTTATAGATCCCATGGATTATTATGCTTTGACTGCCATACCTCTTGTGAGTCAAGGCAGTTGTACTTTGCTTTCAATCTGGAAGCCTTTTATTTCCTTTTTCTTGCTGATTGCATTGGCTAGCATTTCCAATACAACATTAAATGAAAGTGAAGAGAACAGATATCCATTCCTTTTCCTGATCTTAAGAACAAAGCATTCAGTCTTTCACCATTAGGTATGATGTTAATGTAGGGTTTTTAAAAAATAATATACTTCATAGATAACAGGGAGAAAAATTTACTTCTAAAATTAAAACTTTAATATGCAGAGATGTTGGATTTTTGTCACTTTTCCTGCCTCTATTAAGGTGATTCTATGATTTCCTTCTTTAGCTTTTTAATGTGGTAATTATATAGATTGATTTACAAATCTTCATTGCACATTCCTGGGATTAATCTCAGAAATATTGTATGATCCTTTAAAAACGGCTCAGATTTGTTATAGCTTTATCAAAAATGTTTGAATATGAAGGATATTAGTTTATAATTTTCTTGTAATATACTTACCTGGCATTGATATCATAGAATGGGGTAAGAGGACATATTTTATCCTCTTCAATTTTCTAGAAAAATTTAGTATTTCTTTGATGAAAGTTTCATGAAATTCTCAAGTGGAGTAACTGGGACTGAGATTGTGCATATGTGTGAGTATGAAGGTTTTTAACTACAAATTTAATTCTATAATATATATTTTATGTATGTTATGTATATTCAGATTATTTGTTCATTTGTGGATGAGTTTTGGTAGTTTAAGATTTTTAAAGAGTTTGTTCATTTCATTCAAATTGTTGAATTATTAGCATAAAATTATTTACAATACTTTTCTAAT